GACAGCTTGATAACATCTTCCTAATAGTTTCTCCAAAACACCAGAGCTTATCCCAGCAACCTTCATCGCTGGTCTGTTTATTGGGAAAACGCAAAAAGCAGTTAGTTGTTTGGGTATGTCAATTTCAGCACATCATGGAGATCCTTCAGTATTTCTATTTTATTTACTTAACATTCCACTTTTGTCTCGAGGCAGTAACTGGTCAATTGGCAATGAAGAGGAGAGCAGCCGTTACTGTGAGCAAATAGGATGTGGCTTGGATGTAATGAAGATCAGTACTACTTTATTGGTACCTGGATGAGAAACACTAGACTCTAGATACATGCAGTCAGGATGAGTCCTGGCATGTCTAAAAGGTGGTCTGCATTTGCATCTTATTGCCCTCACATCCTGGTGCTCTTTATTGAGACTTATGACTGAAGTTGGCAAATAACTGTCAAGAGTAGGAGTTAGGAGAGAGAACACAAACAAAGGAATCACGCACCACATCCTGAGGGAACTGCAAATAGACTTAGATCTTCCTTCTAAGGATATGTGTATCAATATAATTTCAGTGTATAATTTCAAAGTATAGCCACATACTGTATTATATTTATAAATATTTGTGTACATGTTTTATATTTTGTGTCATCCCATATATATATTCTCAAGAATATATATTTCTTGTGATATTATTTTTCAAACACTTCAACACTGACATTCTGCATGATCTTTACTGTCCTCATTTTCACTTGTGACCAAAATCTAGAGGGATACATAAGCGTGTGCTGAAGTTTACATACTCTGTTTGTCACATAGGTCTATGCAAATGAACTCTTATTCAAGCAGGTCTAATTCTGTTCTATTCCAGCGATGGCTATAGAGACAGCTGTTACTGTACTTCCTTGTTGATGCTTTCAATATAATTAGTTTCTTCCATATACAGTATTCATTTAATTCACAGATTACATGTTTACACAAGGAATATGACAAAAAAATGGTTAGATACTATCACATATAAATAAATACAAATTTGCAGATCTATTTGAAACAACATAAAAAAATAATTGTGTTTAAAACAAAAAAAACCTGATTGACTATAATTTTGCTCCAGGCTTTTAAGGATTTTCTTTGAATGCATAGTTTTGTAGGGTGTTCTTCAATGGGTGTTGGTTCAGTTGTTTTGCTATGAGCAAGACAATAAATCGTTATTAAGTTAGTTTCATGTCTACAATCACGTCTCTTTATTGAGTACAAACAGGATTTTAGGACATTAGACATTGCTCTTAATGAAAGAACTGCCAAGTACAGCAGTGAGCCTAATCTCTATTTTTATAAAATACAAATACAAAATGTATATATATATATATATATATATATATATATTAAAAGCAAATTATAAATGCATTATATTCTGTCTACAGAACACACATTATTACCACCCTAATGCAAATGGTAATTAATTGCGATAATTATAATTAATAATGAGTGAGCGAATTTTGACACTGAGTCAGAAGGGCTGGAAGGGCAGCCGCTTTTGCATAGTTTGTGCTTGCTGTTTAAAAATCGTTTGAAACGTAGAAAACTGGCAGCTTTCAGTAATGAAAAGATTTATCTTTAACTGTCATGGATACTATGTATAAACCTTAATTAAACAATTTAATAATCAATTAATAAAAAGGAATTGATGTCTGCATGAGGTATGACAGGCAGGTAGGACATCCTATAATTTAGCGGTTTAGTCCACATTTTCTGAAGAGACTTGATCGCTTTATATTATGAACAGATTTAATTTAGTCTTTTATTCGCATATAAACACTGATCAGCGAACATAAACAAAAGCTCAACCGTACTTGCTTGCCGTGCGAGAACAAACCTCATTGGTTATGCGGAGGCTCAATCATGCTGCCTATCACATGAAAATGAAATTGGTTCTCGCATGTCAAGCAAACTTGAGCTTCCGTTTACCATTACTGATATGTGAATTGATGAATATTTATATGTGAATAAAAGACTAAATTCAATCTGTTCGTCATATAAAGCGACTGTCTCTTCAGAAAATTTGGAATAAACCGCTCAATTCATTTAGATTAATTTTACGATCTCTTTACAAACTTTTTGAATTGTCAAAGTGGTAGTTGCATAGCTGTCAATGGAGGGACAGAAAGATCTTTTATTTGTGTTCCCAAGATGATCGAAAGTCTTATGGGTTTTGGACCCAAAACGACACGAGTGTAATTAATGACAGAATTTAAATTTTTGGGTAAACCACCCCTTTAAGACCCCGCACATGACGCGAAATTTGACACACATCCAATTGTATCACAACTCTTTACGTTAATCTAAGACTATTTAACTCATTTAAGAGTTTGATTATGAAGATACTGACCAAAAATGGGCATTTTGACAGTTTTTTTTGTGTTTTTGTCCATTCAAGCGCGAAAGAGCGGTACTGGCTATTTTTCTATTTTGCATCTTATCACGCTTGAATGGTTTAAATCACTTGCAAGGTTATATCTCACAATTCTAATACTATAATGTGCAATTCGGAGAAAATTGCTATTCTTTTTTTCACAGAATTGCGAGTCTATATCTAGAAATTCTGACTTTATTTCCCGCAATTGCTAGTTTATATCTCTTAATTCTGACATAACTCGCATAACTAAAAAAAAGTCAGAATTGCGAGATGTTCGCAATTGTGAGATAAAAAGCAATATCTCTTTTTTTTTTTTTATTCCATGGCAGTAACAAGCTTCCATAAACGCAAGCCACAGGAGGACAGGGGGAAAAAATGAATGCTGCGTTAATAACATTAAATATTTTAATTTATATACAGTATATATAAAATATAATATTATGTTATAATATATAATAATTAGGGCTGTCAAATGATTAATCACGATTAATCACAACCAAATTAAAAGTTTTTTTTTTACATAATATATGTGGGTGCACTGTGTATAATTATTTTGTGTATATATATAAATACACACACATGCATGTATATTTAAGAAAAAAATATTATTTATATATAAAATATTTATATTTATATATAATATAAATTATATATAAATCTATATACAGTATATACATGAAAATATTTCTTAAATATATACAAGCATGTGTGTATTTATATATATATATATAATATTTATACACAGTGCACCCACATATATTATGTAAAAAAAAACTTTTATTTTGGATGTGATTAATCACGATTAATAATTTGACAGCCCCAATAATAATACAATATATTATATTAATAAGTTATATATCTCAAAATGAACAAGCAGCACTAACTAAATTCGGTTTGACAGTTGCCATTTGAACGATCATTTTACTTGCATACACTCTAATAAGTTCCTGCTGTCAGCACACATTCAAGGCCATGACAGCAAATATAAACAGTGTGCTCAAGCAGGAGTCTCAGCATTAGGGTAAATAAACATTGCAGCAGGACTCCGAGCAGAAGTGTGTTGGTGGGTGTGTGTATGGAAGGGGGGAGTATAAACTAAAAACCGAATGATAGCATCTCTAAAGCCTTCTCTCACTAAGGAGAGTTGCTGTTTATTTTCTTATCCTTGTATCTTTTTTAGGAATAATCTCCACTTAACTGTCTAAACTCACTTAGCCTGTAGCGAGAACGACTCTCTACACTGATGATGGGGATATTAATTATCCTTAGAGTGAAAGCTGTCCCAGAAACTGACAGGGAAATGAGTTTCATGAAGTTGGATGATTTGCATATTTAAAAAAAATGCAAATGTCTTGGAATTTAGCAACAGCAAGCAATTTATACATCTACCTTCTGCTTTTGTGGCCTATTAAAGTCAAATTACATGCAAATAAACACAAATCAGTGTTTAGCTCATAAACAAACAAACAAACAGATTATTCAGAAGATTACAGTTCACATTTTGCTCAAAGTGTATTTCTTGTAGGCAACATTAGGGTTAAAATCAATATAATTGTACATAATTAGCATGGAACATTATTATTCTATATAATTATATAGTATTATATTATATAAAGTAGTTAACCAGCTTTGATAAATATATTTGCATTAAACCCTTTTTTCAGTTAAAGAGCTCTAATCTTCAGTTTCGGGTTGGTGTGGGTGTTCACAGCAGTTTGAATTGGGCTGATCCTAATATGCTAAATGAACACAGCGGACTTAGAGTTGTATTGGCAACACCTAATATTGTTATGCACACAAATCACAGGAAACTAAAGGCACGTGAATGCATGTGAATAGAAATGCTGTCGACCTGCTGCATAAGATTTACAACATGAAAACTAATTTTACAGCAAAATAACATATCAATTGTTCAAATGTGTCTGTTACTCTCACTCTCAACAGTATAGGCCTACAATTTAAGTGAAATTCTAGTTACATTTGAGTAAAACATAGAGACTTTTTTATTTAGACTATTTTTGCTTATCTTCAGAAACCTAATACTTTATCAACAACTTTAGCTACTAGTTCTTAGGGTTTTCACCAAACTCAGTCAGCATGCAGTAAGACAAAACAGCAGTTTAAACATTTCCATGATTTCTGTGACACTGAATTTTCTTTTTTTTTTAATGCAAATGTTGTCATTATACAGAAGTCTAAGCCATACTGATGGTTTAAAATTGTTTGTAAGTGTATAAGACATTTATAAAAGTAATCTACAATTGTATTAAATGTAAAGAAGTATAATTTATGTTCAATTTAAATCAGACATGTTTGCAAAATGTAAATATTGTATGTAAATGTACAGCTAAATTCAGCCCTGAACTATTTAAAGATCATTCAGGAATTAGTTTTTATTTAAAAATGTTATGTGGTGCTAAAATAATAATAATAATAATAATAATAAAAAAATATATATATATCACACTGCACCGTTAATTTCATCAGATTTTTTTAGGTGAAACAGGCAGGACCATAAGCAATGAGGATCGTTGAATATTAAGCCCCTCCTCTCAGGTGTAATCCAATCCAGTGCCCTGTCACAGGTAAAACCGGCCCCAATTTCTCAGTATATCCAAAAAAGCGAGAAAAGCCAACAAAACCCGTTCTCATACAGGCAATTCTAACGCAGCCCTCATCCCATTCTGAAAGCTTTGCTCCATACAAGAAGAAGAAGGATCGGATTTACAGTACCAACTAGAAAGTCCAGTTCGACCATAAGAGATGTCACAGGATCATGACAAGTAAGTTCACCACTGTAGGTCCATAGTTTACCGAGGAATGATCAACAGAAAAGGATCCTATGATTGAAATATTACTCACTATTTACTGCTTAATTTGCTGGAACTGACAAAGATTAGCTTCTCTAGTCTGACTCGTCTCAATAATTCTGGAAATGTGGCTTACCACGAGGAGTCTGTCTGACAGCCGAGAGCCGATTCCGCTACACAGTTGTGCTGTTTGGGCTCTTCAGTTCACCTGTCATGTTCAGACCTGCTCCGGTACAGGTGTATGCACCTGCCGCGGGAGTTACGAGCACAGCTCTCTGTTTGACAGATTTGCGTGTTATTTGTGTTTTTGTGCGTTGATAGTCCTTATTTGGAGTGAAATTACATCGAGTCTAAATGGGAAACTTGTGGAAGCTTGACATTTTTGTGAGAATTTATTAAAAGGCTGCTTATGTAAATACAGCTGGAACCAACATCTCTGTTTTTGGAAAAGGTAATAATTGGTGTCACATATCGGCTGAAATTGTTAGGTTTTTAGATAATGTTGTATTTGCAGTATGATTATTTCTTATAATAATGTTATGGATTATATTATTTTATGATTGATCAAGTTCAATTTTGTCAAATTTTGTTTTGTAAGAAGAGTTGATTGAAACAGCCTGCTTTCTAGGCGTTGGTAATTTCTTAGGAACAGTGTTTAAGCCTGTTGTACATTGTTTAAAGCATGCACATCTAAACAGAATCTCAGGCGACCATTTAGGAAAAGTTTTTTTTTTTTAATTCTCAGAATTGGTTCAACTGTTCTAAAGAACATCAAACACCAAAGTGTATACCCCAAATATTTGCCCATTAGTGAGCTTTTCCTCATGCACACAGAACTTTGTTGACGACCATCACCATAGTGTAAGAAATGTGAGACCTTGTATCTGTGAATCCTGAAGGGAAAACTCTCCTTGGTTAGTGTTTGGAGTTTGGCGGATGTGCCCACAAACACATCATTAGTAATTTTGCGCTTAGTCGCCTCTTTTGTTTTAGTACTGGGATTGCGTGTCCAGGAGGTTGTATTGTCCCAGGATAACGGATCTATCAGGTTGCAAAACTAAAATCAAACAAGGAGAAAGAATGGTACAATTAGTTATCAAATTACCCATAATCCGTTTGCGTTAAACAATTCTGGATGCAAAGTTTTGTCATAGCAACTTTAAATGGATTCATTCTATTATTAAAGGCTAATAAGTGTTGTGTGACAAGTAAACCAAGAGATACTAACCATCATCAAGTTGAAGCCATTCCTAAATAAAATCGAAAGTTCTAAGTTTATACTCTAAAACTTGATCCTCTCGAAAAAATGTATGTGCTTAAATACAGTAGATTTAATTTTAAAAAGTCACATTTATTTGATGGTAGAGTTCCCCACCTCAACCTCACCCTTCTTGAGAAGTAAACTCTAGTTTTGACTTTATTTATTCTTTAAAAAAGCTATTTTGCTCTAAACTACTTCCTTCCGCCACGGATTTAAATCTCAAATTGACAGTTTAACAGCTGAGCCCAAGCCTCGGTTACTAAATCTAAAACGTAACTTTAGAACTTGCAATGAAGGAATGCTTCCTTTTAACAGTTAAGGGGATTCACCGTGACATCTGGAACAAGTAATTGATTAATAAGAGCAAAGATTGCCTGTTTGATATACGCAAAATGAATCATACCTCATGTTTAAACACTGTCTACATAAGAGCCAGTGTCAAATTCCCGAAGGACTGGCTGAGATGAAACTGTTCTTGGCGGGTACATGAGCGATAAACGGCCGCTGACGGCCTGGAGCTCACATCTCTGAAAACGTTGAAGCACATTTTTAAATCGGCAAATACATTCTTGCCTAAAAAACTCTTAAAACTACATTCCGTGACAAACAACAGTTGTATTTGTAAAATTATGTTGGGTTTGCTGGTCTGCCATGACACTCGCTATGAGAAATGCTGCAAGCGGAGTGATACAAACGGTGAAATGGTTCCTGTGGTGATACTGTTAGAATATCGCATGGCTGGGAAGACTCAGATTCAAAGACCTGAACTAACTGTTGTATAAACATTCAATAAGCATATCAATAAGCAAAGTATATTCAATCTCTGTGAACCACCTTTGTCTAGAAAATAGATGATGGTACTCATGAGAATGACATAATGATGACGAAAAAGGCCATAACCGGTTTTCTTAATGAACTTTGTCACAGTCAGTGAAAAGTCACCAGATCTCCTTCTGACACTTTACTGGCTGTCTTACTGGAAGAGCCAGTGAAACATGTTGTCAAACGGGAAGCTGCGGTCTGTGCAGAGATTTGTTGTTTGGCCCAGTTTTTGATACAGATCCTGAGATAAAGAAAGCCTTTCACAACAACCTGCTCTTCTGTCAACTTTAACACCAGCAATAACGCCAAAACATCTTCAGATTGTTGAAGCTTATCGTCCATCTTTTCGTTCCTTTTAACTGTTTTGATTGTTTCTCTGCCCGAAGACTCATTTAGCTTTTAGTCTTGTACTGATGGCTCTTTCTGATCTGTTCCTCACAGTAAGCGGCCTGTGCTCGTGGTACCGAATGATCCGGCTTACAACCAGCGCCGGCCTTACACAAGTGAGGATGAGGCCTGGAAGTCGTTCCTGGAGAACCCTCTCACAGCCGCCACCAAGGCCATGATGAGCATTAATGGAGATGAGGACAGTGCCGCAGCTCTGGGTTTGCTATACGACTACTACAAGGTAAAAGAAGAAAAAGAGAAGATTAATTCATAAATTATTATCAGTAGCACTTTATTTTACAGTGTCCCTGTAACACATCTAACCATGTACTTAACTAGTAGTAACAGTAAATTATCATAATTACAAGCAACTAAACCAAACCCCATAACCCTAATTAGTAAGCACATTAATTAATCATACTTACTCAGTACTATAATTACACTGTAACAAGGGCACCTTAAAATAAAGTGTAACTTTATCAATTATTTAAAAATGAGGTTTTAGTAATACAGTCAAACCAAAATTTATTCAGACACCTTCAACATTTCTCACATTATCACAGTTTATTCACTATAGTTTAGAAAATGGTAATAAAATATGACAAGAACTTGATATTTCACTGGTTTTGGCCATCCGTCTGTTAGAGTGTCTCACAAATGAATTAGGTTGAATAGATGTCAGCTGTTAAATTTAAGTTCACAATTAGATAATACCAATTTAGGTCAACCAATAACCAACCAATGCTTCATTTTGTTCAGTCTGTGGTGTAATAAGGTCGCATTATCAATTAAAGAAAAAACACTTAAGCAAAACATGGTTAGGTCAAAGTATATTTAACTGGTCTCATTGAATGAAGAATTTTTGGGTATGATATGTCACAGTTTACTTTATTTTGCTATCCTCACTTACATAAATGAACTATAGTGTCCTGCACCCACTAGTAAAAAAATATCACAAATTATATCTAGTGTCTGAATAATTTTTGGTTTGACTGTATCTTTGTATCTGTATTATTTTACAGAAGGAAGGAAGGAGGAACTTAAAAAAAAACGAACCTTATTTAATGTTTATATCAGTATATTATTTGAGTTCTACTTAACTAAGGATGAATTTAATGATATCTGACATCTAAGTCTCTTAAATATGTTCACTGACAGATATAATGGGTAAAGCTGATGCTATTGGATGTGGTCAGACTAACGTAGAGTTTGTTTACTTTCCCCAGGTGCCACGGGAAAAGAGAACAATATCCCAGCAAAAGACTGACGTCCTGGGCTCTGATGTGGATCCCAACAAAAGGTGAAGCTCTCATCAAAGATGCAATAATGAATGCTATTTTTTCCCACACTGAGAAGACGAGACCCTTCTTTTTATTATTCTCTTTTAGGAATGCAATTACAGTCAATAATAATCTTTTAAGAAAATAGTCGACAACCATTTATACGATTGATTTGTTTGGTCTGTTTGCCGAGCACGCAGAACCCAAGTCAGTGACTTTATAGTAGCAAAAACGTGCACAAGCTAAACTGTTCCAAGCATAAGTGCACTTTATATTAAAAGCTTCAAATATCATGCGCATAGAGTTTAATGTTGCCATTCTGCCGTGTCAGTGTGCATTTCTTCCCTATTTTGATGTAAATCTGTATTTTTTCTCGAATAAGACAAAATGTAGGGTGGGACTTGATTTTGTCCATTGAGAACTGATTGGATCGTTGTGGTTTGCTATTGCTGTGATCATTTATAATAATGCCTACAATATTCCCAAGAAAAAAAGAAAGATTAGTCTGTGTTGATTTCATGGTGACTTTAATGAGCTTGTGATAGTTTCTCCCCAGCACAGATATATTATTATCTATATTCTGTATTTTAATCTTGTTTAAAGCCTGGAAAATGTTTACATAAAAATAAAAAATAAAATAAAAAAGAAAGAAAAGTAATTGTTAAACTTTAAACTAAGGCATGTGGATGTGCTTGTGCATGTGCTTGTAGGTCATTGAAATGTAAAAAAAAAACAAAAAAACATTTAGATTGTATAATTTGTTATTTACATTTTCAACAGGAACATGATGGCCCCTCTCCAAGAGACGTCAATGCCATCGGAGAACAGAATTCAGGTTCTGAAAGGAGTACCCCTAAATATCGTTCTTCCAGGGAACCCGCACACCCAGGACAAGAGAGGCCTTTTCCCCTCACCTGATACTACGGTGACGGTGTCCATTGCGGCTGTGCCAAACTACTCAGTGAAGACAGAGGGTTCATCCCACGGTTTCTCCGTCACAGTCCCCAACCCCCACTGCTCAGAACCAGACAGTCACACGGTGGGATTTGACCGTCAGCTCCCCCACAACCAGTTCAGCCCGAACACACAGCCACGCACCCCAGACTCGACCTTCCCAGAGAACTCAGATGTGAGTTCACACACATCTCCTGTCTCCCACCCTCAGACAATACTTCATTTACCTGGCGACTCTAAAGACATTGTTGGATTGAGCCCCCTCCCTATTTTTATTTGAACATGCCAAAATAGCAGCTAGCATGTCATTATGCCATTGTCTCTCTTACACAATAAAGTGCTGTATTTTCCTCTCACATAATAGCCAGGTCCTTTTCTCTCCCTCTCTCTCTCTTGCCCGCTCTCATTCCCGCTCCCTCTCTCTACCTTCTCTTTAAACCTGGAGGGAGGATTTCCTTAGAAATGATAGTTCCACAAAAACCTTACACACACAGGGAGCTGGGAGAGCCGTTTGTTGTTTCTTTGGCTTAGCAATCAGCTTTCTCTCACTGACTGAATGTGTGGCAGCGTGGTGGTTGTTTGCGCTAATGCCAGGCCCTCTCGCCCCTCTTTTGTGCACTACAGGTGTTCTCGTTCCCAGGGGATCTCCAGTTACGCATGGTCTCGCAGGAGGACTACGGAACTTTTGACACAGTGTCAAGGTAAGCGAACGTCTGCTGCCAAAAACAAAACCCCAGAGAAAAACCTCATTCCCTTTCAGAGTCTCCCGGGAGTCAGGAGATTTTATCATCTGAGTGTGTGCAAACAGAATAGGGTCATTGGTGGATCCTGACAGGTGCACATGGCCCATGGGCAAATGAAAGTGTACCTACAACAAATATGACAAGCTCTGTGTAATAGCAAACAGGGAAATTGTCATGGGTGTATTTTGTCAGATGGTGCAAATGCAAATATGTATTACTGTATGTGGTGACCCCTTTTTTTGTGTTTGGTCAACAGTAATAATTTTCAATACACGTTAGAAGCCTCTAAGTCTCTCAGACAGAAGTCTGGTGATGGCACAATGACGTACCTCAACAAGGGCCAGTTCTATCCCATCACCCTCAGGGAAACCGAGAATGGCAAACTGATGCACGGCCCCATCTGTAAAGTCAGGGTAAGATTAGTACGAAAATAAGATTTTTATTATTATTATTTATATTTTTTTTAAACAATTTACACACACACGCACGCACATACACACACATTGGGTTTTCATGTCTTATGGGAACCTTTCATTGACATAATCATTTTTATACTGTACTGACTGTATTATTTCCCATATAACCGCAAACACAGCCCCAAACTTTCTGCATTTTTACATTTTCAAAAATGCATAATTTAATATGATTTATTGCTTGATTGATTTATGATTTATAGCTGTTTCCTCATGGGGACCAAAACAATTTCCCCACAAGATCAAACATTTCTGGTATTACAATGTAGGGAATACCTGAACCACACACATGTGCACGAACACACACACACACCAAAAATGCCTCTGAAAAAAAGGTTCAACAAAAAGACTCTACCTATCATTTGTTTTGCAGATGCCACATATTCTAGTCTATTATAATGACATTCATACATTATTGTGCATAGATTACTGTAAGTGTCCAGATACTTTCCAATCAAATTAGTATATATTTAAGTGTGACTTGAGTGTGTAAATACTTTTTGGAGCACTGAATGTATGAGCACTTGTTTGAGTGTGTATACTATAATTGAAAGCAGTAACACCATGCTGTTTTTCAGAGTGTTGTGATGGTAGTGTTTGGAGAGGAGAAAACCAGAGATGACCAACTCAAGCACTGGAAATACTGGCACTCGAGACAGCACACGGCCAAACAGAGATGCATTGATATCGGTGAGGATATCAGTACACCTCTGATCTCACTGATCTTAGTCACACTTTCAAGTCTCTTTGGGTCCAGTGCAGTTCAGGGTGGAGTAACGATACAGATAGCAAACACAGACAAACTGGACGCAGGGAAGGGGGGCTGCAGGTGGGGACAAGACAATAGGTCAAGGGGAGAGCCATCAATGACACAACAAATAAAAGATGAACATTGTAAAGCTTGAAAGGGTACACAGCATTATCTTGCTTTCAATGAAAGTCGACTTCTGAGGGAAAAATACCTGTTGATACTTAATATCACATTACATATTTGTTATAATTTTGTTTTTCCAGCAGCATATGTTGAATTGATTACATTTAACTGTCTTGATTTGATCTAAAAAGCTCATAAACATGTAATTAGAGTCTACTATAGTCAGTTCTACTTCTCTTATATCTGCAACTGAGATTTAAAAATATGATAAAACCAAAATATTTCCTTCCCCATTTACCTCCTTAATTTACTAAATGAATTCTCAAAATGCTCATTAATCAAGCCCCTCTTGTCTCCCACAGCGGACTACAAAGAAAGTTTCAACACCATCAGTAATATTGAGGAGATTTCATATAACGCCATTTCATTCACATGGGACATCAGTGAGGAAGCAAAGGTAAAGACATTTTTGGGCACTTGTAGCACTATTTTCATTGTTAATAATCAATTAACAAAATTATTGCTCTTTTTATTTGATTCACCTCTTGATATCTAAAGAAATTAATATGAGATTAGTGAAAATGGGTTTCTGTTGAAAGGCTTTATATTTAGGCTAAAGGTGAATAATTGCTAAATTTCCTTCTGTTAGAATTCTTGGTATGTGGATAAAGAATCTTAAAATAGACATAACCTTTTAGGAAAAGTATGACTGACATGAAGATTTACACTCAAAATAAACCTGATGCTCAACACTTGTACACAAACAAAGGATTTATTCAGGATCCACAAACAAAGTGTGCTGTGATCCATAAGAAAAATCCTAAGAAAGTGTGAAGAAGGGGCTTTCCAAGATTATTTTGGTCAAGCTTAGTTACTCGAGCTGGTCGTTGGTGTTTTCCGACATTGATCAAAGCTTTTAGTTCAGTTGTCTTCAGATGCAGATGCTGGACTGATGGAGATATTTGTTGTTCGCTGACTTTGAGTATGTTAAAATGTTTAGTGTAGGATTTGTTCTCAGATCATTAGGTCTGACAGCCCTATTTTGTGCGAAACTGATGTGTTAATGAGGAGACGCGCCCAACAATAGCGTTAAGAATGAGGAAACGTTAACGGGGGAGCAGTGAGCACTGTGACAGGAAGGCTGATGGAATCCTGTTCGACGAGTGTGTCCAGACTGGTCGGGTTAAACCCGTCACCAAGTGACGAACAGATTTTGGTTCAAATCTTCTACCTCTGTCTGATTAGTTTTGATTTTTCATCTGTGTTCATACTCAGGGAGCATAGCAGGATCATTGAGGATCGTAGCAGGCTGTTAAAGGAATAGTCACGTACATTTGTGTATTGATGTAATAGTAATTGTCCCATTAAAGTAAACAATTCATAGTTTAAAGAATGAAATTGAGTATTTTGCAGTGTGCAGTGTTGTCCTATAACCAGGATGCAGATCATAAGATAGGCCTGCGCTGTAGGATACTCATCCGTGTGCTCAGTCTACAGTGTCTAACACTGTTGGCAGTGTTGTATGTGGGCGTGGTTTGGATTCTGTGCGCTTGGGTGAGAAACAGAAATTGAAGAGAGAGAGATCAGGGCAAAACACTAATATGTTTTGGAAAAGGATGGCTGGAATGTTCTTGTGGCGCACCCTAGCGGACTTTTTGAGAAATTACAGGCGTTTAGTGAATGCTTGTGTTGTGCAAATATTTGATTAGCGTAGTTCAATGCCCATTTGTTTGTAATTCTCATTTTGCCTCAGGCCTTTTGTTAATAATCCATTATTACGTAAGATGCTGTATTGTCATAGGATAAAGTTAAGTAAATTTTGCTTTGGTGATACAGTGGTAGGAATAAATAGATGATGATCGAGAGTTATACATATACACAACAGATCAAAAGTTTGGGGTCGGTATGATTTTTTTTTACAAAGAAATTGATATTTTTATTTAGCAAGGACATATTGAGTTGATCAAAGTTACAGTAAAGATGTTTACATTGTTACAAAAAAAGCATTTATAATAAATGCTGTTCTTTTGAACTTTCTATTTATAAAAGAATTCTGGACAGTTTCCAACAAAAGATATTAAAAAGCACAACTATTTTCATCACTGATGATAATAATAAGAAATGTAAGAAAGTTTCTTGAGCACCAAATCAGCATATTAGACTGAAGTAATGGCAATAAAATAAAAGTGATAAAAAGTAAAGTAATAAAAATCAGCTTCGCCACCACAGGAATAAATGATATTTTATTACATTTATTTATAATTTACATTATTAATACATTTACATTGTAATAATATTTCACAATATTGTTTTTTTACTGTATTCTTGATCAAATAAATTTCAGCCTTGATGAGCATAAGAGACGCCTTTCCAATAAATAAATAAATTTTTTTTTTAAAAGGGAAGTGTATTTAAATTTTTTTTAATAATAATAATAATAATAATTATATATATATATATATACATACATATATATACTCAAGCTTCTATATACTTCAGTTCTGTCTGAATTTTGAATTAATAAGCAGGATGCTGAGTTGTAAAAAAAAAAAAATGGAGCGAAAGTTATGTTCCATAGTAAAAAACATTAATTGAAAAAGTAATAATAATACATTTTTGCAATGCCATAGTTTCATCACATCATAAACTAATATTTTATTTATTAGACAGTGATGGAAGAGCACTTCCAGAATGCTCGAATTGAACCCAGTTTTAAAAACTTTATGTGTTGTGATTCTATTTTGTTACCAAAAGAGGGCGACATTCAATACAAATAATGGCATGACACTCTGGTGTTCCCATTTCACCGCTCACAAACGTTTTACCCTGAGCATTTACAGAAAACAGAATTTATAAGTTCAAAACAAACAACGCTATCCACACACTGAATAAAGTTTTAGACTAAAAAGATCAAGTAACATTTGTCAATTGCATTCAGTGCATTTTGAGGTTTTCTCTTGGTTTTAATCTCTTTTACTTTACTGCACTTTTTTTTGTTGAAAATGTAAGAATAAATTATTTTTAACCAGTCTGAATTTTTGTTCAGTGTGCAGTTAGCTTTTTGTTTTGCTTCACGCAACTGAAGTAAAAAAACAAAGAAGAAAAAAAGAAAAGTTGGACTGAACGCAACAATACTCTCTATTTCCAAGGATTGATTTGTAACAAATGATGTAACAAACATTGTAACATTAATTGTTCTCTCTTCTCTCCTTAGATCTTTATCTCAGTGAATTGTCTGAGCACAGACTTCTCCTCTCAGAAGGGAGTGAAGGGCCTACCGCTCAACCTACAGATCGACACCTACAGCTACAACAACCGCAGTAATAAACCCATCCACCGCGCATACTGCCAGATAAAGGTCTTCTGCGACAAGGGTGCAGAACGCAAAATCCGTGATGAGGAGAGGAAACAGTCCCGTAGGAAGAGCAAGGGCCCTGACGTCAACCCTGCTATGGGAAACTGTAAGCACACCTTCAGGTTTTTTTACTTTGACACATAGATTTAAACTGACCCGATGGTACTTTCAATGAAAATGTAAGTCTGAGCTCTGGAGAGACTTGTGTTTCACTCTATTCTTGCCCCATTTTTCTCAGTTGGGCCAGATGTCAAGGTGCCCCTCCTGCACAAGCGCAGCGACATCACTGTCTTCAAGACAATGACAGAATACGAGACACAGCCTGTCCTTTTTATCCCCGACATCCACTTCTCCACCTTCCAGCGTCATGTGAGTACCAATCCTTAACATTGTGTTCAAAACCTTTTTTTTTGTGCACATATTTCACATTTGAACATATAAGATATATAGTAAATATCATAAGTTACAACGTTTCAGATTTATAGACCCCAAAAAAGGGGCAAGATTATGATATTCACAGCTTTTTAACATTTACATTATTGGCAGACTTATGAAACTCAAATGCTCTGTGCTCTATAGGTGTACAGGTGCAGTGTGTGTAATGACACATTGCATGTGAGCACTGGTGATAAGATACAAAGATAGGAGAATGTACGATAATGTAAATTTTTGCAGCATGTGAGCACAATCATAGTTTAGAATGATTTTGACCTCATTAACTCCAGTTTCTGCATTACCCCGTATCTTATCTGTTAGGCTTAGCCCCGATGGTCCAATCAGAGAAAAATGAATGACACCAGAATGCCGGTGCGAGAAGGGGTGATTGGCAAAAATCCACAGGGCAAATTGGCTTTTGTTTAAACAGTTTATGACATTTCCCCATAAGAAGAAAACTGCTTTACGTGTTTACATGAACTTATGCAATACGGGTTATTAAACACAAACAGTGTAAAATGCATGAAAACGCACTCAGTGGCTTGGAACAGAAAGATTGTTGACAGATCAGTCAGTCAGTCGATCAGTCAAACAATAATTAAAAGATATGCCTTTTTTATTTTGTGTCCCAGAGAACCAGTGATAAACATGTAAAAAAAAAATACATTATATAATTACAATTTATTAATTGACAATGTTATTTATTAATAAATTCTAAATAATAAAAAAACTATTATAATTATAATTAATTATTATATTTTGGAAAATTAACCTCTTATTATTTTTATTATCAATCATTTTTTATCATTTCACCTGACCTAGTCAAACCTCAGTCAATTTTAATTTTGAATTAACATTTTTATTTCCAATTAAGAAAATCAGCAACCTGACACTGCAATGTTTTTTCAACCTATTAAAATGCCCTTAATAGTGTTAACAAAATGAATTTTTTATATTAAAATTTGTGGTCTCTTGCCAAAATGATTAATGATCTAAATGTCAGTACCACTATGACCACTATGACTGCGTAAAAGCACATCGACATCATTTCAGTGCTTTTTATTGCATGTGTGAGCGCAGACTACTGTAACATTTCACAGAAATAGCAGATTGTCGTTGGGTCACGGTGACCGGAATGATGCAGTCAGTTGGAAGGAATATAGTCGTTTCTCACAGTTATAAAATCTGGCATTTATGGCATGGGTTTGGCTGTTATCAGAAAGTTCTTGGCAAGGAATCACATCTTAAGCCCACACACGCTTTCTTAACGAATCAAAACATGCCTAATTTGTCTTGCCAGCTTTGTTCAGAGTACCTACCATTCAGGTTACCAAATACCATAAACATCAATAGTACCCCTCACTGGATCACATGTCTTTTAACTTTAAGGTTCTTAGACCTGGAAGTTGTTTTTTAAATCATTTCAGTTTCTTGGTAGAACCCTTCCTTTAACTTCACCCTCCACCTTTGACTCACAAACCTGTTCACCCATATGGCAAAAATCACATGACTCCCCGTTCTGTAGGAAAGCAAATGTTAGACACTGTCCTTAAACATGACCTTTGATCATCAGTAGTTGTGTGACATTGATGCCCAGAGTGTATCTAGAGCCAAAAATAAACCTTCTGGCTATTTACTTTTCACTAAATCACACAAAATGAACAAGAAATGTGAACTTTGCCATACTTTTCTAGTGTCGCACAAATGAAGCAAGTTTAGAGCCATGGAAGGATGTTAATGTGCTTTTATGTGCTTATGCAATGCACCTGTGTTGACACATGTTCTGAATGATCTGTTTTATGCTCTGGGGGTCTGACAGCTTTTGTATTGAGTTTACATTGCAGTATCCAGGAATAAAAAAAAATACAAATAAAAGATTACATAAATAAAAAGAAAGAAAGTGGGTCTGAATTTACGAGTGCATCATTAATCATCACAAGTAGGTTAAAATGTATTAGCATGTGTTAATGTTTTAACCCATTGGGTCTTCAGCAGGGCGACTGTGGTGGTCCTGCAGGGTTATACAGTAGTTTCATCTCAAACTGATTTTTGTGGAATAAAATAAAGAATTTTAGAAGCTGAAAGTTCAGCTGAATGTTTAATTTTCCACCTACATTAAACTATATTAAGTAAAATTAAAATGTAACATTTTAAAGACTTTCCAATGTGAGCTTCATGTAAATATCCTGTACACTATCGTTCAAAAGTTTGGGTTATTGAAATAAGTCTCTTATGCTCATCAAAGCTGCTTTTATGTGATTAAATATACAGTAAAAACAGTAATATTTTGAAATATTCCTCTGATGCAAAGCTGAAATTTCAGTCTTCAGTGTCACATTATCCTTCAGAAATCATTAAAAAAAAAACATTTTAATTTGGTGCTCAAATAACATTTCTTATTATTATTATCAATGTTGAAAACAGTTGTGATGCTTAATATTTTTGTGGAAACTGATAAAACATGTTCAGGATTCTTTGATTAAATTTGAAATGGGATTTTTTTTTAGTAATGTAAAAGTATTTGCTGACACTTTTGATCATGTTAATGAGTCCTTCTTAAAAAAAGAATAATAATCTTACTGTCACGGTATGTTACTGATATAAGGCAAACGGGAAAACTGGGTCAAAGGAAAATAGCAACTGAACACAATGAAAACTAAGACGGATCAAAAACCCCAAAAGAGTTCAACTGGGAGGGTGGGCTGGGCACCCTGGAGTGGTGGAAGGTAACGGGCAAGTGTCCAGGGCGGTGCTGGCAGGCCTCAAGGGTGACACCGGTATACAAGGAGCCAGGGAGGCGCCGGAAGTTCAGGAAACCAGGGAGGCGCCGGTAGTGCGAAGAGCCAGGAAGGATCGGCCTCCGTGGCCTTGACACTGGAGCTTGGCTCGGCCACTATGGCTGGGGACGTATAGCCACTCCCCCCAAACTTTCTTGGAAGGAGCTATGGGGTTGTGAACTGGAGCGGACTCATGCTGGAGCGTACTCTAGAGCGGGCTCATGGGCTGGAGCCGACACTGGACTGTGCTCAGGGGCTGGAGTGGATGTGGCCCAGACACACATAAATACCAGAGCCATTAAGGACAGTGAAACGCTCTCTGGGCTGAGCTCTGGAATTTCCCTCTCGAGAGCAGGCTCGGGATCTTCTCTCACTGGAACAGACTCGGGAATTTCTCTAATTGGAACAGACTCTGGAATTTCACTCACTGGAAATTAAGGGTGTCACGATTTCGATTTTAAATCGAAATCGATCAAAATTAAGTCACAATCTCGAACTTCGAATTAAAAAATGGAATCGTCGATGCTGCCACGCCCCCATGCCACGGAAAAAAACACGCGTGTTGAAGTGCTGCAAGTCAACCTCCTCTAACTTAGCTACAGCCAGTCAAAAGATAGCATGGCAACTGCAGATGCAGGAGACCCATCGACAGAACTTGAACCGTCTACTCTTTCATTGAAGTCACCGGTGTGGAAGTATTTTGGATTTCCAGTGAGTTATGTTGTCAGCGTTCGCGATCAACGTTCACGCTTCAAAAAAGCCAGTTTGCAAGCTCTGCTATGTACCATATTCTTCCACTGGCAGCACGACTAACATGGCAGGGCATCTCCACAAAAACATAGATTTATCTGTTAAATCAACAACTGTTTGTTTGTTTTGTGAACTTGAATATCGTCATCTGCCTGTTTGCGAGGCGGCTTTATGTATGTGTGAAAAGAAAACCATCTCTCAGAGAGCGTGCGAGTACTGAATAGTTTAAAATCGCTTGAATGTTCAAACTGGTGAGACTTAAAAAGATGTGAAAATGGCAAACTTTAGTTACTCACGATGCAATGCTGGCCCGATTATGCAAGTGACAATTCCGTCATGTCACGACTCCCGAAACGTGAGAGCAGCGCACTTGACGATTGCCTTGTGCAACCCATTTTGAGAGACAGAGAGAGAGAAGACGCGGCACCGCTGAACACTCACACTGTTTGTGAAATTTCATTTCGCAGACAGTTTAAAATGATTTGATTTTATAATCTGCGTATGGCAGGTTATTTTGCTTAAAGTTTCCAATTGACTAAAGATATAAGATATTATATTATAAGCACTTTATGTTGTTAATAAATGTTTTAAATTTGACAATGTAGTGTGGTACATTGCGAACAAAGGTCAGATATTATATTGCATAAAAGTATATTCTAAAAATGGCATAGCAACCTGTGCTTTAAAAAAAAAAGAAAGTAAAATTCGAGAATCGAATCGAACCGTGACCTTAGAATCGAAAATTCAATCGAATCGAAGATTTGGAGAATCGTGACACCCCTACTGGAAGTAGAGGACTCTGGAGTAGAGGTCCTGTTAGTAAGGTGTGTGGTGGAGGGCTTGGACGCAGGCTTGGGTTAGCTAGAGTGCTCAAACATTTTCCGGATGGGATTGGATGATCCTGGGAAAAGTCCTCATTCACTTCATCAACAAAGAAATCAGAACCGTTTAGCCAGAGGACATAGTCAATATGATCAACCAAGGATACACTGCATTTACTGGGAGAAAGAGACTGATATAATTCGTCATCCAGTCCCTCCCGAAAACAGGCCTTGAGAATATGAGTGCTCCAGCTCACCAGATGATAGTACTGCAGAAACTCCACCACATATTGCTCCAGAGGCTGACCGTCTTGACGGAAGGAGAAGAGGAGATGATCTTCCGCCAGTATCCAAAGCTCTGCCCGTTCCATAGTTGAGTCTTTGTTTTAAGGTCCTGTATAAGGCACACACCATGGGGTAAATAATAGTCTTTTAATTGTAAATTCAAACAAGGAAACACGCCGGAGATAAACTTGGAAACACGGAATAGAACAACCACTTCAACATAGACGTTAAACAAAACAGGACAAATAACAGACTGAAACTGAGGGCTTAAGTACAGAGGGCAAACAAAGGAGCTAACGAGTTAATTGAATGGGATGAATCAATGAGATAAACGGGAAAACTCAAAGGAAAATTGCAACTGAACACAATGAAAACTGAGACAGAACAAAACAGAACCCTGACACTTAACTTTTGAACGTTAGTGTATATTTATACAATATATTTTGTTATATAGGGCAGACTTAAAAAGCAACATTCAGTTTTAATACAATATGTAACTGGGCTCTGTCTCTTTATGCACCATGGGGAATAACTCTAAAATGCCTCCTTATTCTGAAATATTAAAGGTTTTTGTTAACGAATGGTAAATTAACTGTTAAAATGGCTCTATATTTTTTGTTAATGCTGTATTGTCTTTTCTCATTATAGCCTTTCTCACCGGAGGACTCAGAGGAGGGGTAAGTTTCTGTCTCTTATCTTCTTTGAGCTCATTTATGTTCGGAATGCTTGTTCAAGACAGGATAGGGTTCAAAATGTGCATTATAGAGCAAACAGCCTTTAGCTTTGCCCTGGAGTATAGCTTTTCTAGGAAATGTGCAGGTGCTGTTTGTGTAATTGGTAATGATGTACTCGCCTCCCCTTTTCTATTGGGATGGTGGTTTTCTCAGAACTACACTCATCTACTGCATCTCCCTCCTCGTCTCCTCACTTTTCCTCTTTCCCTCATGTTCTTCAGCTCAGCTATGAAGAGATTACCTTATTCCGAGGAGGAGTTTGGATCACCTCCCAATAAGCTGGCAAGGATGGATGAGCCCAAAAGAGGTGTGTTTTAACTGGAACTGCGTTGTATGTGATTTGGTGGATGAGACAGATCTTTGGGTATTTCTGTGTCTAAACTGTGTTTATTTCAGTATTGTTTGCACTATAGTATTAGTGCTGTTATGGTGCAATGCCATTTGGTTGCTTGCGAGTAACCGCACATAAAAACACCCTAATTCAAAACACATTTCCTCTGTTTCAAAACCTAGTGTGCTGCCTATGGTGGATACCTTATAAGATGCCTTGTTTTAGACATATTCAAAGGCAGCATCACATGTATCCTTCATGGAGAAGGCTATCCCATAATGCACTGCAACAAGTTCAGTAAAAAAAAAATAAAGATGGCGGACGATTGATTTTAAGTATAATTTGTTGAGAACTGAAAAGTATCCACAAAATAGTATATAAAATATAATAACATTCAATAAAATAATAAATATGATCTAATAATTGTAAAAAATATAATACAAATAAATGGTCAAATATTGTTTTTTATTTTGCCCAGTATTTGTCAATATCAAATTTTATTGGAACCAATTGCATGTGAGTGGCACTACTTATGTGACATGCGAAGTCACTCTACCAAGTGTTCCAGATCATCACTTACGAGGTTCCATGACGCTAGGATGTTGCCTTAGAAGCCAGTTGCCTATGTCACGGCCGGCTCGCAAGCCGAAAGAAGAAGGAGGAGACAACACGTTGGATATTGCTCAAAAGAAAAACATTTATTAAAGTAAGAATAATTAAATGAGACGGTGACGAGACGGAAAGCAAACAGACAGCGGAATCCAAGACACAAACGGCACGAGGATGGGAGAGCGCGCCCCGTCACAGCTGAAGGGAACTGCTTTAATTGCCGGCATCAGCTCCAACACAGGTGTAACTCCTTAGTCAATAATGACGTCACTCACTCTAACTCCATCATGCAAACCAAACAGAAAGAAAAACACACAACCCACAAATATGACCCATACTGGGTTCATAACACCTATGTAGGTAGTAGGTACTAGTAAGGTAGCTGACTATAGGTTTTGGAACAGAGCTATTTTTTTTTACCCTGAAAGGGCCTAATTATAGACCAGTGTGTCTCAGCATTTCAGAGGCAAACACTGCTGCTTCGGTCACTTCAACAAAGGATGTAGAACCAAACATCTGTGGGATCCGGTAAAAAAATTATGGAAATTTGCAGGTCATTGGAGGCTGCTAGCCCTCCCAACACGATTACTTGCCTCCCTCTGCTCGTCTCCAGCTTGTTTGCCTGTTAAATAGCAGTCATGGTCAGCCATGTGTGGGTTTGTGTGGATGTTTGTATCTATCTATCTATAAAAAAAATACTCTTGCCAAAGGCAACACTGCAGCTTTGGAATAGGATGTAATGTTTGTAATCTGTGTACTCCGGACTGTCCACATCACTGAAAGTCCCTTGCTGTAAGCACAGTGTTCCCAGTAATGGTTTGGGATGCTGCCCAGTCCTTCTGGGGTTTTTGGGTGAAAGGGGAGGAGGGGGGCGGCACCGGTCAGACTTTATAGACATGAGCAGAAACCACAACTACAGGGATCAGCATGTGAGATACAAAGTCATTAAAGGCATGCATAGAAAAACATATCAAATCATCTGCCACATGAAAGTCTTGGCAGAGGACTTCGACTTTACTTTGGTTTGCAAATCTGACCTCACATTCAAGAAAACTGGGCTTGCAGTTTGTGCATGAGTGACCATATATATAACTGACCACATTTTTATGCCTTTGCAGTTTTGCTGTATGTGCGCAAGGAGACAGAAGAAGTGTTTGATGCTCTCATGCTGAAAACACCTACTGTAAAAGGCCTAGTGGAAGCGGTGAGTTCACTTCTCTTTCCCCAAATGTCCTCATTCAACATGATTAGTGCAGACAGCTAAGGCACATAGGAATTTGGAATTAGAAATTTGAACACACATTCCCATAATGAATTGCGATGAGGACTTCAAAAGCTATCCATTAAATAGTATAATTGAAGATTATTATTATTAAATATATTATCAAATAATAATAATAACTGGTTTGAACCAAGCCAGATATTTTGAGAATGCCTGCTCTATTGAAATCAATTACTGGTCAAGCCAAATCATGCTTGTTAGAAGACATGTGCTGTCACGTTTTGAAACAATCATACTTGTAATTTTCTCCCGGATGATGATAAAACGTATAGAAGTTAACTAAAAACCCCAAGAGTACCTCAGCAAATAACACTGCCCTGCTGTCCATACACAACACTCTAACATCATGGTGCTGGGTTTTAACTCAGGCAAGAACCACTCACATTTCTTCAGGAAATCTAAATCTAATTTAACTAATACAATTGTAATGTTTCAATGCCTTTAGTGGAGGGTTATTTACAGTAAGGACATGGTCACAGAAAGAATGGAGAATAAAACATTCTATGTTCTAAACATTGTAACCGTATCATTTTGTTTAGTAATGCATCCTTTAATTACACACACAAACACTGTTTCCAAGAGAGCTCCCTCCCAAAAATCATACATCCTACAACTACAGCGACGTTTCTAATGCAGCACAGCACCTCCCAGAGAAATTGAGGAAAAACAGGGCCAGAGAAGTGCAGTAACTGCATGTGGTCAATGCAGAGTCCCTGAAATTAGAGCCTGAAGCAGGGTGATTTAATAGGCACTTTGAGTTACGTAGCAAGAGATTGACTGTCAACAGGCCGTCTGCATTAAAACATAGCAGGAGGCCAGCATGTGAATCACACTGCCTCAAAAACACATCCAGCTAATAAAAACAAAAGCTGGCATGGGCTATTACAGGGTCCTGCGACAGGTATAAGAAAGTGTGCGTGTTTTTGTGTGGTGTGCGTAACAGAATGCTTTCCAAGCATTGCAACACTTCAACTAGCTATGAGAGTGAGGAAAGGTAATGGTAGGATAACGTCAGGGGGGTTAGGAAAACATTAAGCCGAACCATTTGTATCCCGAAATAAGATGAACTTTGATACTAGTTGGCTTGAAAAATGACTTGGGTCTACAAATGTTCCATTTAATAAGTACATAGGGTTGCATTACTCACCATGAATTACTGCACGAATACTTCATACTTATTGTGCTGAGTTGCTTAAAATGATCCATTGCTATAAATAACAATAACATGCATGTCGCATAGACACAGTAATGTAAAGTTTTACTTCTGGCGCCTGCTAATGGATCTCCTATCCACCAGATTTCAGAGAAATATGAAGTTCCTCTTGAGAAGATGGGAAAAGTCTTCAAGAAATGCAAGAAAGGGTAAGACACACAGATTTCTTAGTTTAAACTGTGGCTGTAAATTGATTACAGTATAAAGAGCATGATTTGCATTACATTCATTATCTATTATTAATATATTATTTTAATAAAAAATTTTTTTTATTTAGTTTATATATATTTGGTAACACTTTAGTTTGGGGTCCATTTTTTGCATATTACTAGGATATTGGATGTTTACTAGTACTTATAAAACATATATTAATGCCTTATTCTGCATGACCATATTCTACATCCCTTAATCCACCTGACCCAATACCCAAACTTAACAACTACCTTACTAACTAGCAATGAGCAGTGATTAGGAGTTTATTGAGGCAAAAGTCAGTTAATAGTGAGAATTGGACCCTAATATAAGGTGTGACCATACAGTTTATTCAAATGTATTTTTATTCATTTTTATTAATGTATCCCACACATGTCCTTTGATTAGTCACTGAACAAGTCAGTCTGGGGTTAAAACTAAACCATAGTGTCCCACCATCTCTGCTTCATTTCAGGATCATGGTAAACATGGATGATAACATCGTCAAGCACTACTCCAACGAGGACACCTTCCAGATCCAGATGGAGGAAATGGGAGGAATGATTAAGCTTACACTGACAGAGATTTGAGAGTTATTTTCGAGTCATTCTACAGACTGGTTTACACAAGTCCACAGACCATTCCTCCTACTCTATTAGGATACCAGAGATCCCTCAGCAACTCGCTGTCATCTTTTAGAATAATCTGATGAACAGTTTTCGCGTGACCAAGTGTATGAGCCTTAAGTACTTCGTGAATTTAGAGTGAAATGATGTAGAGTATTTCTTTCAAGTGTTTCTTCCAAACACCTTAAAGGTTTTGAGCCATATTTTCTAATTTTTTTCTGAGTATAAGCGAACAGCTGCAGATTTTTACTATTTCTCATTCATTTTGTGACTCTGAAAGAGATCACAATAACAATTTACTCTTCGTTTTCCTGTTTAAAGTCATAGCACTGGAGACGCTAATCTCTAAAAAGGACAAATGAACAGGGTGTTACTTCTGTAGTAAAATGGGTTTGGGGGATCCTATTTGCTTGACTGTATTGATACAAATACCCTGAGCAGTATTTAGTGAGTACAGTATATTATCCCTTGCTCAGCAACTCCACGAGGTGCAGTGCCACAAGCACTGTGTGTATGTGTGTGTGTGCACATTATGATTTATAAATGTAGAGGAACAATCCTTTTTTTAACCAACAATGGTCATTTCCCCAATTTTCAGTTTCAGACTTTCCCCAAAGTCATTCCTAATATGAACAAATACGGTCCATACATCAGGCCCTCTGATTAATCCTTCAGGAGGTATTTTCAAAATGTGATCCATAAAGAATCAGTATAAACTTTCTTTTTTTTAACAAAAAAACAATACAGATTGATAAACATTATTCTGTATTGTTGGTGAATGAACTGCAATGCTCTACAAATTTATAACAGAAATTGGCGATCAGTTCTAATACAATTCATGATTACCAGAGTCCCTGTAGCTACTGCTATATCAGTTTTGCCCAAAAACATAGATGCACGTATCTTTCGGCAAATAAGTAGTATTACATTTAGCTTATTTGGTTACCCAGTAACCATTATATGATGCCCCATAAACTGCTGTTACTTTGAGAGGAGAACATATTCATCCTTTCTGTTGTCGTTGATGAAATGTACAGGTTTTAAATCATTTTGAAAAAGCTTCTAAATGTTGTCTAAATAACTGATACTCTCTTTTGTATCATTTATTGTGTATATATTTATTACTGGGATGGGATTTGTTTTTATAACTATAGCAAAAAGTCGGTTTTCTAATTATCTTTTTAAAATTTTAAATGAAATCATTCTAAATGATCTATTTATGCAAATGGGATTTTTTTTTAGTTTGTTATTAATGTCTGATTTGGTTTTAATGTGCATATTTAAGTGTTCTTAAATGCAAAGATATAATTTTCCTTCACTGAACTGTTAGTCAGATATGTTTCCTTTTGTATCAAATACACATCTTAAGCTCCAATAAAAGCCACTTGGGACTGTGTATTTTATTTGGCTGTATGTGTGTTCTGTGGTTTTCAGCTAGCTGTATCCAAAGCAGTTGTCATGGAAACAGGCTGCGCTCCAATAGCCCATCTGTCTGGTGGACAGGAAGTGGCCGGCTAAATAGAGAGTGTCTTCAATCAGAAGTGGCCTCAAATACCCCCTCAGCCTCAGTTTACCTCCTTTTAGTTCCTTCTTGGAAAAAATATTCACTCTTCACCAGGGAGGAACCAGATGACATGTAATGCACACACAAAATAATAATAATAATAATAATAATTTAATATCACTAACACTATTTTGGATTGAGACATCTACAATACTCTGAAATATAAGTGGCTATATTTGTGAAAAGATCTGAGTGACTTTGACAAGGGCCAAATAGTGATTGCTAGACAATTCTAGCAATCCAAAACGGCAAGTTTTGAGGGGTGTTCCCAGTGGTTAGTACCAAGCAAAAGTGATGCAATGAAGGACAACCAGGGTCATGGGCACCCAAGGCTCACTGATGCACATGGAGAACGAAGCCTAGCCCGCCTGTTCTGATCACACAGAAGAGCTACTGTAGCTCAAATTTCTGAAAAACGTTATGCTGCCCATGATAGAAAGGTGTCAGAACACAGTGCATCACAGTTTGCTGTGTATAGGGCTGCGTAGCCTCAGACCGGTCCGAGTGCGCATGATATCCCTTGTCCACCGCCGAAAGCGTCTACAATCGGCATACGAGCATTAGATTCAGAACTGGACCATGGAGCAATGGAAGAAGGTTGTCTGATCTGAGGTATCACATTTTCTTTCAGATCAGGTGGATGGCCGGGCGCATGAGTGTCGTTTATCTGGGGAAGAGATGGCAGCTGGGTGCACTATGGGAAAGACGACAAGCCCACAGAGGCAGTGTGATCCTCTGGCCAATGTTCTGCTAGGAAACCTTGGGTCTTGGTATTCATGTGGATGTTACTTTAACACGTGCCACCTACCTAAAGATTGTTGCAGACCACGTACAGCCCTGCATGGCAGTGGTGTTGCCTGATGGCAGTGGCCTCTTTCAGCAGTATAATGCACCCAGCCACACTGAAAAAAAAGTTCATGATTTATTTGAGGAACATGTCAAAGAGTTCAAGGTGTTGCCTTGGCATCGTGCTGGACTAACAAAATCTATGGAGGCCCCACCTCGCAACTTGCAGGAATTAAAGGATCTGCGGCTAATGTATTGGTGCCAGATAGGGCTGTAGTCAAGACCACCTTTGTCGAGTCCAAGACAAGTCCAAGACCAGGACTAGTCGAGTCCAAGTCAAGACCAAGTCCAAAGAGGTTAGAGTCCAAGACAAGACCGAGTCCAAAAAGGTTTGAGTCCGAGTCAAGACTGATTCCAGGACAGGAAACAAGTCTTGACATTAAATGACAATCATTTGGGCTATTATTTGTTGATGTAAAAGCAAAAACAGTGTCACAACACCCAGGATTTTTAAGTATAGACATTCCCCTTGATATCATATAATCTTCTAATCTAAAGAAAAAAGAATGATGACATATGGTGATACCTCATAATAGCAGTGTTAGAACTGATACAAACACCAACCCACTACTATTACCACTGCTAGGTAGGCTACTAGTAGCCTACTGAGCATTTGAGCAACTAAATGACAATATAGCTTCACTCCAGTAAAATATATCTGTGGTAATTTCTTCACGTTAAACCGAACTTTTATTTTGACGGGTTTCTGAGTGTATCTGACGATGAAATGCTGAAGATAAACGTGTACTTAAGTATGTGTAGTACACGAACCTGCGGCACTCACTTGCAGAGACTCGCTGAACAATCAGATTTGATAGCAGTCTTTAATATTCACAGTGACTAGTCCATATAGCAATTTCATATTATGATTGGCAGTGAATAGACAGATCTGTTATTTTAGCTATGCGCCGGTATTGCAGTAGCAAATAGTAGAAAAGAAATCACACACGCGCAGGTCGTACTTGTCAATGACGGGCACTACAATCTGTGGTAATCTGCGGAGGTTTCTGTGGAAGTCTGCGGGTGCATACTACAATAATACGTTACTGGGAACATAAAAAAGACACCTGGACTCGGTCGAGACTAAAAGCCATATTTGGCAAGACCAGTGGCCGAGACCGAGACAAGTCCGAGTCCGAATACCAGCGAGTCCGAGACCATAGAAAAACGGTCTCGAGTCCGGACTCGAGTACTACAGCCCTGGTGCCAGATACCACACTTTCAGATATATATATATATACTCCAGTTACATGTATTTTTACATTTATATACAGTACAACTTATATTTATTTTTATATTCCATTTAAATTTATTTTATGTTGTATTCCATTTATTGTTATTGTTAGATCTTTTTTTTTTTACTTTTATATAACATTTATATTTTTTATCTTTTGAAGAGTACGTACGTGCGAACGTGCTCTAGTACGTAAGAAGGAGCCTATGATTGAACATGTAAATAAAGCTTAATAACTAAGAAAATTTTGATTTAGTCCTCAGATGCCATGTCTGCAATTTATAGCAAAAATTCTGGAAAAGAAAAGACCTCAAAAAGGATTAGGCTACTACGAAGTTGTTACTCCACCACCTGCATGACATTATTAACCAACGTGGTTGATTGAACGACAAACTTGCGAGAATATGGTTTCGGGAAACAGTCGTGACTACCTTCTTCAACGATGCATCGTATGGTAATTAAGCAGCGAGTTGTTGTTGAACAGGAAACGCACCCCTGGATAGTTTTTACCCGAGGAAATCTAGCGTCACAACAATGCGTTGAGCCATCTGCTTTAAGTTTCACTTCTCCATCTTTTTGGAGATTCTACATCACATTTTCCTTGAACCCTTTCTGTCCTTATGCAACCTTATAGGCTAATAACTTCACCAAACGTAATGAATTCAGCTTCATCCTTGCACTTACTCCTCAATAATACATTTAAGAAGGATAAGTGCTTTTTTATAGCATTTATATAAGTGCAAGGCTTTTTTAGAGCTGACAAAGCTGAATAAATCCATAGAGATAGCGTTTTACACGTTTGTTGTGGTCGTAATAGTTGATATTAGGTGTGATGTACTATAGCTTTAAGAGAAAAGTAATGAGTTTTATACCTGTGGAAAGTTTGACACATTTAAAATGTTCAAATATAGGTCAGGAAGGATATTACGGTAAGTAGCCTGACATTCCTGTATGTGTCTGCACGCACACACACAAAAAAAGAACATTGTTGTTTGCTAACATTCTTGTCCTAATCCATTCCCAATAACAGCACTTGTTTGTTCTCAAGTGGGTAAAATGCTGAAAAAAAAAAAAAATCCCATGTTGTGACAAAGGATCTGTGGAGAGATTCTGGTTCCTTCTTGTCAGTGGTTACTCTTTTCTTAAAAACCTGACATTTCAGCTCTAAACACCTTGGTTTGTGTTGATGGCTGAAAATGGCCAAAGAAAACCAAGGCAATGTGGAGAAACAATGTACTGTCCATAATGGCCCTATTCGCAGCTGTGACTATTTAAGTCTCAGGGACTGTGTCATCGCCTCTCTGACTCAGCACAATCTTACTGGATTCAGTACTTCACTGCACAGACACACCCTTCTCTCGCCCACTCGCTCTGACAATTGATTGATAGGGCAGTCTTCAAGCCCTATTGCTGTAGACTTGAACTACACCTTTTGTGTCTGAGAGAACTGGTAAAACACACACTTCATTGCTCGTCTTGACCTATATTCTTGAAAACTTATCGGAAATAAATGTGGGTTATTTTGGTTCACTGCTACGGTTGAGGCAGGCCCGGCGGCAGGACACATGACTTAGGGAGGCATTTATATTTCTCATGCGAATAGGCCTATGTATTGAAGCATGTACAGTACATGGCTGCTTGTCAAGCATGAAAAACAAGTGTTCTTTAAATTCGGAATATATTCTATGAATTATCATCGCATAGACATCGTGCAAAGAGCGCTCCTTTTATAATCACTAAAAAGCTGTCACTCATTCATCGCGATCTCAAAAAAGTTCCTTTATAATCAATGAAGCTGACAACACAACGAATCTCTTATTTACTGTACATAGTCTACACTTTGTCAGAGAGTTTGCAAACGTACAGAACTCAGCACTTGACAAAAACTTTTCTACCCTTAAACACCTCTGATTGGTCATTGCGTTCATTCTACCATTCTAAAG